GAATAAACTAGAGAGAGGGCTGGGAAGGTGGCTCAGTGGTAGAGCACTTGCCTTGCATGCCTGAGGCCCTGGGTTCGATTCCTTAGTACCACATAAGCAAAAAGCCAGAAGTGGCACTGTGGCTCAAGTGGTAGAGCGCTCGCCTTGAGCTGAAGAGCTGAGGGACAGCGCCTAGGCCCAGAGTTCAGGCCCCACGACTGGACCCAAAAAAAAAAAAATTAAAAAAAAAATAAACTAGAGAGAATTTAGTAGAGTAGTAAAGCCAGTTTCTCTCACCCTTCTCTGAAAGACTACTGAAATAAACCGACAGTAGTCAGATTAATACAAGTTTATTGATGCACACTCAACAAAATATGAAACTAAACAAAAATGAAACTCGAGAGCTGGAGGTGCCTTTTGGAGAACACCCATATCTGGGACTCTTCCCCAGGCTGGGGGCAGGGAAGGTCAACTCTCTGGCAACTCCTCAGCTTCCTTCAGAAGAAAAGATGAAAGGTCTGTTTGGGCCTAGAGGACTTTTCACCATTTCTCTAGTGATGTGATGAGATTCTTAGGGAAGAGTGTAAGATGCATATTTTTGGAAGGACAGGGAGTTTCAGAGTTTGCCCCTGCACTTCAAGGGAGGAAACAAGGTATGGCCTGAGGCCCTCCACTTTCAGCTCAAAGTTCCCAGCATTCCAAAACACTGGACTTTGAGGGTAGGCAGATCCTTCTCTGTATCGGGTGTCTTGTGCAGATAAAGATGTTCTTTTCCTCCAGATGTGAGATTGCCCTTTCCAGTGAGGGCTGAGGAACTGCTTTAGGGGAGGAGGGTAATGGAAGACACAGGAGCCCTTCCTGCTTCTCTCTGTCCTGCAGATGCCACAGTGTGAACCCTAACCAACTTGCTGTGTACCTTTTGGGCAAGTAGCTTCAGCCCTCCCAACCACAGACTCAGCTATATAATGAAGATTCATTATGGCATCTGTTTCTTGGGGTTGTGAGGGTGGAGCTGACAGTCATGGCGCACCCTCAGCATAGTGCCCAGAACCTGGGCTCAGTAAATGTTCATAAATGTTCCCTCCTGCAGCCTTTGTTAGTGCTGTTCTCAGTACAAATATATTTTTATGGTTTACCTTGATCATCTCATATATAACAGTATTGGCAGGCAGCAGATCACTTCATTTAAAAAATATCCTATTAGGACTGGAAATGTGGCTCAGTGGAAGAGTGCTCACCTAGCATGCATGAAGCCCTGGGTTCCTCAGGACTTCATAAACAGAAGAAGCTAGAAGTGGTGCTGTGGCTCAAGTGGTAGAGTGCTAGCCTTGAGCAAAAGAAGCTCAGCGACAGAGCCCAGGCCCTAAGTTCAAGCCCCAGACAAAAAATAGATTAAAAAAATTTTTTTGTCAGTCATGGGGCTTGAACTCTGGGCCTGGGCACTGTCCCTCAGCTCTTCAGCTCAAGGCGAGTGCTCTACCATTTGAGCTACAGCGCCACTTCCTGTTTTCTGGTGGTTTATTGGAGATAAGAATCTCGTGGACTTTCCTCCTGGGCTGGCATTGAACTGTGATCCTCAGATCTCAGCCTCCTGAGTAGCTAGGATTACAGGCATGAGCCACCAAAGCCTGGCTAGATTAATTTTTTTTAATTCTATTATTGCAAACAAGAGTTCATAAAAATTCAAATTTAAATTGATATGGTGAGCGTCCTCCTAAACAAAGTCAAAAGACAAGGGAAAATGGGGTGTAGGGGAGAATATATTTATAATACAAACAAAGGGTTCATTTCCCTCAATTAAAAAAAAAAAAAAAAGCAGAAGCCTATAAAGCTCTTTTTTTTTTTTCTTTGTCAGTTGTGGGGCCTGAACTCTGGGCCTGGGTGCCGTCCCCCAGCTCTTCAGCTGTAGACCAGCGCTCTACCACTTGAGCCTCAGCCCCACTTCCGGCTTTTTCTGCTTATGTAGTGCTGAGGAATCGAACCAAGGGCCTCATGCATGCAAGGCAAGCACTCTACCACTAAGCCACCTTCCCAGCGCCTGCCTATAATGCTCTTTTATGGTGATATATTTCTAACTAACAACGCTATGTATTTCATGTCTAATGTATATTCTCAGCATTCAGAAAAATCAGATTGGAAATGGGCATGGTACATACACTGCTAGAGATATAACCTTAGTATATAAAGAGACCTGAATTTTATTTCCCTCTCAGAAATGTCCTATGGTACCCTCCTGTCACCCCTGTAACTCTGGTTTTCCCTACCTCCTTTTCATGTAGAAAGTTACTGAGTCTTCTCTGTGGTTGACTCCTGGTGTTTCATTTCTGCTCCTGCCTTCCTTCCCCCTGCTATTTTAGTGGAGACATGCACCAACTCCCTCAGGACAGTGCTACTGCCATGGCCTCCTTGCTTTTTTCTGTTTCCTTCCCCAGTCAGTATACTACATTAGGCCAATCTCCCAAAAATAAGCTTTCCATCAACCTGCTCTGAGGCCACCAGTGATTTCCCATCGGCTAGGATGAACTCATCATTTGTGAACATGACTTTCAGGACTCCCCTTAATCTGTTTCTCCTTTCTTGTGATTTCTTTACTGTTTCTTTTCAGGATCCCACAAAACATCTAAACTATCTGCATAGCTCTGATCACCATGAGCATTTCTGTCCCATCTCCCCCTGCAACATTTCCCACCCCCAACTATACTTATCTTGAGGCCCAGCCCAGTTCTGGTCTCTTCCAGCTGGCTTTCCAAGCTACCTAGCCTTTAGCAGCCATTGTTTACTTCTTGCTGCATTTATTGAGTGCCTGCTCTTCATTGCACACCTACCCTTTGCTTCCTATTTTGTTTTTCTTCCTTGGCAGTACTGAGGTTCAAACATAGGACTTTGTGGTACTGTACTACTTGAGCCACACTGAAGTTCCTCCCTCTTTCCTTCCTTCCTCCCTTCCCTCCCTTCTCTTCCTTCCCTTCCTTCCCTCCCTCCCTCCTTCCCTCTTTCCCTCTTTCCCTCCTTCCCATTTTCCTTCCTTCCTTCCTTCCTTCCTTTTCCTTTGAAACAAAGTCTTGCCATATGGAATCTGTCATATTTCAGACTCCCACGTGCCAAGATTTCTAGGTGTGTCACCATGCATGAATTTAGATAAAATAGAACATATATATGGAAAAGTGCAAACATTAATGGAATAAAGCACTCAGTGACTTTTCACAGGATGAACACACCCATATCACCACCATTCTTTCCTTAAGATACACACTCTGGGAGACAGGGCCTTATCATGTGCTCTGCATGAAAATTTGTAAAACCAATACACAGTGATACTCCACATCAGAAACTAGAGTTGAGTGAGGAATCTAGGCTTTGACAAGTGAGAACTACCTAGAAACTTGGAGGAATACATGAAATTTCCATTGCTGATTTTCTTTCTTGACAGCTAATTAGAATTGAGATATGTCTTCTAATCCCAGCTTAGTTAGAGATATTATTTCAGTTAAGTCCTATCTGGGATTGCTTGATGGTAACTTATGCATTAGATCTTTAAATCTAGTCTATACAAGTACATATTGTCTTTTTTCTCTTTTCAGATATGTAGATGTACTCAGACATCTACAGTATTAGTTTCAGTTAGTATTTTGCCCACATGATCACATGCCAACTACAGGATACTGTTAGGGCAGGCAGACAGCTCCCCTATCTACAGTGTTTAGACCAATAAGTCACTAGAAATAGAACTAACAGAAAGGCTTCACACTAAAAATACAATGACTATACAATAAAATAATGGAAAAATGGTTTCTAAATCCTCTGCTACACAATCTTCACAAGCACTCAGAGAACAAGGGCACAGAGATGGGAAAGGTTGCAATGAAAATGATCAAATGACCACTGCATGCGGGAGGTCTGCAGGAGAAAAGCCACTTGATCTGATGTAATCAGAAAGTAGGAAGAAAATTGCTGCACCAAGGTAAAATGAGTGAAAGATTGTGGAGAGCAGGGGTATTTTAAAATATCACTAGAAATTTTTAATTCCTGGTAGCATGTTTGCAGTTTATAAGGTACTTTGACTAATTGTCTTATTGGATCTTTGCCCATTATGATCTTTATCTGCTATGAGGTTGGCATGGTGAGTGTAGTCATCATGAGTACCAGATAATACCTTGGAATCTTTCTTTAGTGCTATCTGTGCTGGTCTTAGTGTGGAGAGTGAAGATTTATTTTTGGTTCTCTCTCTCTCTCTCCATCCCTCTCCCTCCCTGCCTCCCTTCCTCTCCCTCCCCCCCCCTAGGAACTTGGACTCAGGGCCTGGGCAAAGGATACTTCCAGCTCCTCACTATGGAGTGCTTTTGCATAAGGATAGTGCTCTGCCACTTGAGTCATAGTCCTCTTCCACTTTGGTGATTAACTGAAGATGAGTCAGGCAGATTTTCCTACCCAGGTTGGCTTTGAACCATGATTCTCATATTTCAGCCTCCTGAGTAGCTAGGCTTACAGGTGTGGGCCACCAGCGCCTGGCTTTAGTCTTCTCTTGATGTTTCCAGTTACTGCTCAGAAATCATATCCAGCTAGCTAACATAATTATTATCACTAAGTTACAATTTCCTTTCAACCTGAATGAAGTAAGATCCTTTCCCTGGCCAAGCATTCTACCTGGGGGTCCGCATAAAGCATAGTGGAGCCATGGATAGGACACTTTCAGCTTCTCACTGTGGTATCTCCATTGCTTAGAAACGTGAATGTACAGAAAAGGTAGAGAACCATAGGCTGCCAGTCTTTTAAAAAGTAACTTGCGGGCTGGGAAGGTGGCTCAGTGGTAGAGCTCTTGCCTTGCATGCATGAGGCCCTGGGTTCGATTCCTCAGCACCACATAAGCAAAAAGAAAAAAAGCCAGAAGTGGCGCTGTGGCTCAAGTGGTAGAGCGCTAGCCTTGAGCTCAAGAGCTGAGGACAGTGCCCAGGCCCAGAGTTCAGGCCCCATGACCGGACCCAAAAAAAAAAAAAGTAACTTGCTCTTTCTTTTGGTGACAACCTCCTCCCAAGAACGTGCCTCTCACAAAGGATCTCCTTCATCCCTCTCCTGAATAGGAGAAGAGGAAACACAAGAAGCAGCACCTGGTGCAGATCCCCAATTCTTGCTTCATGGATGTGAAATGCCCAGGATGCTATACCACAGTCTTTAGCCATGCACCAACAGTAGATTTTTGTGTTGGTTGCTCCGCTGTCCTCCATCAGCCTACAGGAAGAAAAGCAAGGCTTATAGAAGGATGCTCCTTCTGAAGGAAGCAGCATTACAAGCGCTTCGAACCAAGATGAGTGGGAAACTATCCCAATAAATACATTTTGAATTTAAAAAAAGTAACTTGCCAAAAGTGTTAGGAGCTCCCCCTGCTCTTTGCTTTGTCTCTGCTTAATATCTCATCTTGGTTATGTCTTTTCTGTACCTAGGAAGCTTCAGTTTGCAAAGCTATAAATCTGCCAGGCTCATTGATGTGGCCTTCACTTCAAATTAATGTTCAGCAAAAGGATTAGCTGCTAACCATTTAAGACTGAGTTCTTTACAGAAAAGAGTGGATATGGTTTGAACAGGCTGTTTAAGCCAGGAAGAGAAGTAAATTGTGTAAAGCAATGCAGTAGGAGCTAGTCACTTTTCTGAAAGACAAGACAGTGCCACACAAAACCTCCAAATAGACCTTAGGGGTCAAGTTGATGTCATATTGAAGAATCAATATTTACTGGGTTTCGTAAAGTTAGCCTTTAATGAACCTCAAACATTTTTCTAGGCCATTAATTGTAAGAAGAGGAAAGACTCAGTGGGCAGAAGTTCATGGGTACAGCATAAAAAATAAATGAAGAAACAATCAGGTGCCAGTATGTGAAGATCCCACCCTTAAGTTCCACTCCAGCATTATTGAGTTGTGTGGAGAGAGAGGGAGTGGGAAAAGGAGAAGGAGAAGGAAGAGGAGTGAGCTTTTTTGATTTTGGGGGGGAGGGGGTGTCAGTCATGGGGCTTGAACTTAGAGTTCAGGGTGCTTTTCCTGAGCTCTTTTGCTCAAGACTAGTGCTCTACCACTTTGAGCCAGTGCCACTTCTGGTTTTCTGGTGGTTAATTGGAGATAAGAGTCTCAGACTTCCATGCCTGGGCTGGCTTCAAACTGCCATCCTCAGAGCTAAGCCTCCTGAGTAGCTAAGATTATAAGCATGAGCCACTGATACTTGGCCTAATTTTCTTAAGAAAGGGAAATTCCTGCTTCCTATACTCTGACATCCAAGTGGTATGCTTTCATATTCTTGGGATAAATTCTGATGTCCTTTTGGATTCTGCCTTGTGAGTGTGCTGCTAATCACAAGGTCAGGCCTCCCTCCCTCCTGCCCCACACTTGAAAGCATTTATAAAGGGAAGGAGTGCAGGGAAGGGCATTTACACTTGTTTGCACTTGAGTAGAAGTCTTCTCAAGTTGTTTTGTGTATCTGAGTGCTTGTGTCCTTCACTGGATTGTCCAAATCATTCATGGGCCTAGAGCTTCATGTTGTATTTATGGTAGTAATTGCTTTCTACTAAATACTGTTTACCAAGGTAAAGGAATGTGTTATCCTGACTGTAATAAAATAGGATACTAATGACTGTGTCATGGTCAATAACAAAGTCAGAGGAATTTGGGCAGTTCTTGATTGTATTTGAGATACATTTTGATTTTGACTTCCCAGACCTTTTGCTCTATTGCATTTTGTCAGGGAGACTTTTTAGAGTTAATCAGAGGGAAGAACTGGCTGTTCTTTTCTCACTCCACCCTCATCCTTCCTCTCCGGCATCATTATTCAGAATGAATAGTGAGAAGGGAAAAAAAATATGAGAGGTTTGTTGCAATTGCTGTGGTTTGGTGTTTTTACAAGATTGCTTAATATTTCCACCCATTATTTTCAGTAGATACTCATCGAGGGCTTTTATTTCTTCCATTTTAGTTGTTTGAGAACTTCTACTTTGGTTCCCTAAAGCTCAATTCCATTCACATCTCTCAGAGGTTCACAGTAGACAGCTTTGGGAACTACGCCTCCTGTGGACAAATTGACTTCTCCTGAGGCAGATCTTAAGAAGTGCTGGAAATCCTCATAAGGTATTGAAGAAGAGGTTTACTTACCTACAGGTGTTTTGTGGGAAATTTGGATGCACCTGAGGGTCATCCAGAGGCACCACTCTGCAGTCCAATGCGTGGTGCCCTTGGCTTGTTCTTTTTTTTCCCTTCAATTATTACACACAGCATGAAATTTATTGTCTTAACTTTTTTTTTTTTTTTTTGGTCGGTCATGGGGCTTGAACTCTGGGCCTGAGCACTGTCCCTGAGCTCTTCAGCTCAAGGCTAGCGCTCTACTGCCTATTTTAAAGTACATAGTTTGATGTTTTTAAACACATGAACACCGCTGTATAGTACCATTACAATAAAAAAAACCTACATGAACAATATCAGTTATCACCACTATCCATCTCCATTAACCTTTTTATCTTGTAAAACATGAAACTCTGCACTTTAGCAGTAACTTCCCCATCCCCAATCCCTGCAGCCCCTGACAACTGCAGGTGTACTGTGTCCATGTGACTAATCTGAGTTTTGCAAATAATCTGAGTGTTTTGCAAAACTGGAAGCACACTAGTTGTCTCTTTGTGGCTGACCTATTTCACTTAGTGTAATGTTATCAAAGCTCACCTACACAACAACAACTTGTGACAGGATTTCTTTTTTTTTGTCACACATGGGGCTTGAACTCAGGAGCAGGGCACTGGCCCTGAGCTCTTTTCACTGAAGGCTAGCATTCTATATCACTTTGAGCCACAGTGCCATATCCAGTTTTTGAGTGGTTAATTAGAGATAAGAGTCTTAGGGGACTTACTTCCCTGGGTTGGCTTTGAACCACAATCCTCAGATCTCAGCCCCCTGAGTAGCTAGGAGTACAGGATTGAGGAAATTAGTGGCTGATTTCCTTCCTTTTTATTTTATTTATTTGTTTGTTTATTTATTTGTCTGTCATGGGGCTTGAACTCTGGGCCTAGGCGCTGTCCCTGGGCTCTTCAGCTCAAGGCTAGCACTCTACCACTTGAGTCACAGTGCCACTTCTAGCTTGTTCTGCTTATGTGGTGTTGAGGAATCAAACCCAGGGGCCTCATGCATGCAAGGCAAGCACTCTACCACTAAGCCACTTTCCCAGCCCCATTTTCTTCCTTTTTAAAGATGAATAATACTCTGTTATGTGTATATACTACATTTGGTTTATCCATTCATCCATGGTGAACACTTAGGTGTCTTCTGCCTCTCACTGTTGTGCTACCATGAACACAGTAGTGCAGACATGTCTTTCAGATCCTGTTTTCAGTTCTACACAGAATTTATCCTTAACAACATTAACAAGCCAGGTGCCAGGTGCTCATGCCTAGTTACTCAGAAGGCTGAGATCTGAGGGTCACAGTTCAAAGCCAGCCCCAGCATAAATTCCATGAGACTTTTGTCTCCAATTAGCCACCAGAAAAGTGGAAGTGGCACTGTGGCTTAAAATTGTAGAACACTAGCCTTGAGCAAAAAGAACTCAGGGAGTATTCAGACCTTGAGTTTAAGCCCCATGACTGACAGTAAATAAAGAAAAAATAACAGAACAGTTACTTTGCTAGATCTGTTCATTTTCTTCTTAAACTATTTGCTGATGTTTTGCTCCCCCACCTGTACCCTCCTATGCCCTGAGTTGTGGTATTATAGCTCTTCTCTCTCTATTTCTCAGGGCAGCAGCAGAGGAACCATGATGGCTGCAGTGGGACTGTGCCGAATTCCCTTGAAGCCTGTCCACAGCCCAGAGCACTCACTTGGGCAGACAGAGGAGAGGTGCTCTCAGCATGGCTGTGACCTCCGGCCATCAGTCCTCCAGGGGCTCTACTGTGGTGCCATGCTTCTGCCTGGTCTTCTCCTTGGTTTTTCTCATTTTTTCATTTCTTAGTCTTCTCTCCATTCTTTTTTTTTTTTTTTTTGGCGGGGGGGGGGGGGGGGGTCTGGTCGTGGGACCTGAACTCTGGGCCTGGGCGCTGTCCCTCAGTTCTTCAGCTCAAGGCTAGCACTCTACCTCTTGAGCCACAGCACCACTTCCGGCTTTTTTCTTTTTGCTTATGTGGTGCTGAGGAAACAAACCCAGGGCCTCAGGCATGCAAGGCAAGTGCTCTACCACTGAGCCACCTTCCCAGCCCTTCTCTCCATTCTTGTATGTTCTTTAAGTCTACTCCTGAACCCTTAGGATGGCTACATGGCAAAGACTGGGGGACTACACAGATCTTTCCTGAATAAATGAATCTCAAAAGGAACTATGTTTCCTGTTATTATTGCCACACACTTCTAGTTTGAATGTGGAAGGAGGAGTGGGGGTGGGGCTTGGAGAGAGAATACACCATTGCTTCTGAACAGGTGTGTCAGTCACTGGAGACCTCAGTGTCTGTCTTCTCCCAAAGGCCTCCACTTTGTGCTGCTACAGTTCTCTTTTGACTTGCGATTCAGCTCACCTCAGGTTGTTAGATGGTATGTGGGGAAAAGTGCTCATGGGATGGCACTGAGTTGTGATGGGAGCATATAGTTCAGTGCCCCATGTTATCCTGCCCTGCCTTTCCCCAGTGCTTCCTAGCAGCTGTAGTGCTGTGGCTTAAGTGGTAGAGTGCTAACCTTGAGCAGAGAGCCTCAGGGACAGAGCCCAGGCCTTGAGTTCAAGGCCTAGGTCTGGCAAAAAAAGGAAGGAAAAGAAAGAAAGAAGGAAGAGAGAGAGAGAAAGAAAAAGAAGAAAAGGAGAGGGAAAAGGAGGGACAGAAAGAAAATGTAACATTATGTATAATATACTCAATTCTTTTTTTTTTTTTTTTTTGCCAGTCAGGACCTGGGCACTGTCCCTGAACTTCTTTTGTTTAAGGCTAGCACTCTACCACTTGAGCCAAAGTGCCACTTCTGGCCTTTTCTGTTTATGTGTTACTGAGGAATCAAACCCAGGGTTTCATGCATGCTAGGCAAGCACTCTGCCACTAAGCCACATTCCCAGCCCCTAAATTCTTAATAGAACTGGAAATTCTGGTATTTAGAATCTAGAGATTTCCTATGAGTGTAAGCATATTTAAGGTGATTGTGTAAGTCACTTGCCTTTTCCACTTTCATGAGTGTTTTGCAAAGGCTTTGTGACTTGTACTTGTGTATTTTTGTGTTTACTAGGATTTTGAAATTTGGTAGATATTAGTTAAATTAGTAAAAAAAAACCTCTTTCAAATTTTCTTTCTGTAACTATGTAAGCAAATTTGGGGAACAATGTAGTGCTGAAGAAAATACAGTTTAGCCAGGTACCAGTGGCTCACTCCTGTAATCCTTGCTACTCAGGAGGCTAAGATCTGAGGACCAGGGTTCAAAGCCTGCTCGGACAAGAAAGTCCGTGAGACCCAGATCTCCAACTAACCATTAGAAAACAGGAAGTAGTGCTCTAGCTAAAAGTGGTACAAGCTCAGGGACAGTGCTCAGGTGCAGAGTTCAAGCCCCACAACCGATAGATTTTAAAAGAAAAGAGAATACAGTTTCAACTGATGTTACAAAAGGGGGCATAATGAATACTTCCAGTGGGAAAAACAGTACGAAGTATGCCTTTCTTGTTTTTGTTTTTGTGGTTGAGACTAAATCCAGGGTCTCCCTTAAAGGAGATAAGCACTTGACCACAGAGGTCTATCCCCTGCCCAAGAAGTACCTTTTGATAATGATCTAAAGTAAATTTTTTTAGATTAAAGGTCCTGGGGCTGGAAGTGTAGCTCAGTGGTAAGCACTTGTAAGCCTGAGGCCTTGAGTTCCATCCCTACCCTCATACACACATACCCCATCACCAAAAAAAAAAATCTCTTACCAAGTTGAAATGGGGTTAATGTTAGAGGCTTTGTACTGTGTTTCTAATCAGTCTTGATGTTACTACTTCACAATTCTGTACCCAAATCATTCCTTGTACTAAACTAGCCTGCTTATGACATGCTACCTTCATCCTCACTTCCTGTAAGGGGAGGTGGGGAAAATCACTGTACCACAACACAGTTTGCATTGCTATACAGGAAACTTCTTGTAGAAAATAATTTTGATTTGGGTGGGAGGTAGGTGTACTGAAAGTTACCCCCAAATAAATTCTACCCATGGTAGGCCCATTCTAAATGTTAGTTTTATTTTGAGATAGGGTCTCACAATGTAGCTTAGGGTAGCCCTGAACTGCTGTGTTGACCAGCCTGGCCTTGAGCTCACCATCTTCCTACCTTAGCCTCCCAAGTGCTAGAATTACAGGAGTGTATAGAGCCATACCCTACTAAAATGATTATTATGAGTGAATCCAGCATCTGCTGATTAAAAAAATTGGACCCAGTTTGCTTTTGCCCTATGCTCTTGTGCCTGGAGCTAAAGGGAACTTCAAGGCACCAGAGATGTATTGAGGCAACAGAACACTTCTCATGTAATTCTTACCTTGATACTACAGGAGAATGATGTCAGAGCCCATAGCTGGCAGGATTGAGGAACCTGGCCATTGTTAAATTGTATTAATAGCTCGGTGATAGAGCACTTGCCTAGCAGTGTGAGGCCCTGAGTTCCAGCACTAACACCATCAAAGTTCCCTTTATGCTGTGCATGGTGGCATATACCCATATTCCCAGCTTTCTCAGCTATGTGGGAGGTTGAAGCAGGAGGATCTTTTAAACCAAGGATTACCTGGCCTACCCAGGAAACAGAGACTCCCATCTCAAAAAATGTTTACTTTGTGGGCTGGGAAGGTGGCTCAGTGGTAGAGCACTTGCCTTGCATGCATGAGGCCCTGGGTTCGATTCCTCAGCACCACATATGCAAAAAGAAAAAATCTGGAAGTGGTGCTGTGGCTCAAGTGGTAGAGTGCTAGCCTTGAGCTGAAGAGCTGAGGGACAGCGCCCAGGCCCAGAGTTCAGGCCCTATGACCAGACCCCCCCCCCCCCCCAAAAAAAAAGTTTACTTTGTAAAAATTCAGCAAGCTATAAACATTTCTATTCTGTGCATTTCTTGGTGTGTGCAAGATACCCCTATGGTGTTTTTTTTTGTTTGTTTGTTTTTGGTCGGTCGTGGGGCTTGAACTCTGTGCTTGGGCACTGTCCCTGTGCTCTTCAGCTCAAGGTAAGCACTCTACTGATTGAGCCACAGCTCCACTTTCTGGTTTTCTAGTGGTTTATTGGAGATAAGAGTTTCACAAACTTTTCTGCCTGGGCTCGCTTTGAACCATGATCCTCAGATCTCAGCCTCCTGAGTAGCTAGGATTACAGGTATGAGCCACTGGCGCCCGGCACCCCTAAGTTTTTAAATGGTTTTTAAACATTTAAGATTTGGTGCTGTGGCTCAAGCGGTAGAGTGCTCGCCTTGAGCTGAAGAGCGCAGGGACAGTGCCCAAGCCCAGAGTTCAAGCCCCACGACCAACCAAAAAAAAATAAGGTTTGAGGCACTTGGTTTCCCTGAATTCCTGGGGGCAGGAGGTTGCCACTACTGGTATTTCACAGAACCCTGTGTTGCTAGATAAGAAATTTTATGAAGAGGATCCCAGAGAGCCTTTTTGGGAGGGATCCATGAGGTCCAACCATTTTAATTAAAACACTAAGGTAGTATTTGACTTTTCTACTCTTTCAGAAGCTATGAGAATGTGATATGGTGACATTGCTGTTACTGGTATCGGTGTTAGGTGTTTTAGAATTCTGTTAAAGTGTTTTAGGAGGATAAGTATATGTGTTTTCAGACATGAACTCAATTTGCCCTCAGTTCCTCTACTGTGCTCTTAAGAGCTATTTCCATTTTATACTTGCTGTTATAGACTGAATTATGTACCCTCCTAAATTCCTGAGTTGGAATCCTAACCCTAGTACCTCAATATGACTAAATTTGGAGAGAGGACTTCAAAGAGGTGATTGAGTTAAAATGAAGCCATTAGAGAAGTCCCTAATCCAATCTGAGTGGAGTCCTTATAAGAAGAGGAAATTAGGGCACACAGTGACACAGAGGAAGGACTACATGAGGACACCATGAGAAGAGCCATCTACAAGCCAAGGACTACAGCCTGAGACTGTAGACCTGAGACCAAATGTACTGCTACTTTGATCTTGAACTTGGCCTGCTAGAACTAAGAGAAAATACATTTCAGCTATTGCAGTGACTTAGTCTGAGGTATATGCTATGACAGCCCAAGCAAACAAGTAAGTCTACTTGCTGTAGTGAAGAAGCTGGTATGAAATCTTGCTTCTCTTCCTTTTAGCCAGACATTGAAGAGATTGTAAACATGTAAATTGGGCTGGGTGCTGGTGGCCTGCGATCCTAGCTACTCAAGAGGCTGACATATGAGGATCACAGCCTGAAGCCAGTCTGGACAATAAGTCCCCTTGACACTTTGAAAAACCAGAAGTAGAGCTCAAAGTGGTAGAGAGTTAGCCTTGAGAAAAAGAGCTCAGGGACAGCACTCAGGCCTTGAGTTCAAGCCTTACAAAAAAAAGTAAATTGGCAGTAAACACTGCCAATTTTTTTCTACTAATTTTTGGGAGAATAGTTACTTTTTATGAAACTATTATGAGAAACATACATTTTTACATATCTTAAAAATTCTTAATTTTCATGCACGCTAAGTATCAATGTACATCCTACTTACATAAAGGTTTTTTGCAGAGCTCCATTTTTTAGTGTGAGAGGTTCATGAAGGCAGTTTAAGAACTGCTGTACTATGTTTCTGAATGGGGTCATATTAAACATGATTGCTATCATATTGCTATCATTGCTATCTGCTCATCAGCCTGTGGTGCCACTAGGAGGTAGTGCCACTAGGAGTTCTCATGGAAAGAAGTTAAATCATGGGGGGTGGGGGGGGTGGAGGGAGGGTTCTTTAAAGGAAATGTTGGAGCCCCAGCTCCTTGATTTTCTGCTACTCCTGCCATGATCTGCTGTGTAGCCCTAGGCCCAAAGCAACAGGGCCAAGTGACCAAGGATTCTCCACAGGAATCAAAACAAACTTTTCCTTTTTAAAAGTTTATGTCATACCAAGCTTATGCCTGTAATTCTTGCTAGTAAGGAGGTGGAGAGCTGAGGATTATGGTTCAGCCAGCTGGAGTAGAAAACTTCATGAGACTCTTATCTCCAATTAATCAGAAAAGTAGGAAATGGAGGCATGGCTCAAGCAGTAGAATGCTAACCTTTAGTGGAAAAACCAAGTGAGAGCATTAGGCCCTGAGTTCCAACCTCAGTATGAGCACACACAGAATAACGTTGAGCAAGGGAAGGAGTGACATTGTCCAAAAATAAATGTGCTCTTTACCTGACTTATGTAACTGTAACCCTTCTGTACATCAACTTTATAATAACAAACTTTTTTTAATTTAAAAAGTCTTCAGAAAAAAAGTCTGCAGTGCAAAAAAGTTATGTCAGTATTTTGTTATAATAATATAAAATTGCCAGATGCTGTTGGCCCATGCCCATAATCCTAGCTACTCAAGAGGCTGAGATCTGAGGAACAAGGTTCAAAGCCAGCCCTGGCAGGAAAGTCCATGAGACACTTATCTCCAGTTAACCACCAGAAAACCAGAAGAGGCACTGTGGCTTAAGTGGTAGAGCAAGTTGCCTTGGGATGAAGAGCTCAGGGGCAGTGCCCAGGCCCAGTTGCCCATGACCAACATAAATAAATAAACAAACAAATAAAATAAAACAAGTTTTTTGGGGAGAAGGGCGGTACTAACAATCATACCTAGAGCCTTGCTCCTGTTAAGACAGTTGCCCTTCCACTGGCCTACATTGCTCAGCCCTCGATACACAGTCCTCAATAATGAGCTTTTCTCAATCAGTAATAGGTAGATCTCAATGGTTCCAATAGGGAGAGAAACGTCATCATTTTTCATGCCTACACAGTAGTCTTTATGGACACTTCTGCTTTTTTTGTTTGTGTCTTTGTTTCATTTGATATGAAGTCTTGCTATGTTGCCCAAACTTTCTGGGCTCAAGTGAGCTTGCCTCCTGCCTCAGCCTCCCAAGTGTTATGACTACAGTGCAACCAGCTGTAGATACATTTTAAATTTCATTGTTTCCTACCTAGTGGCATGAAATTTTGTTTCTAGATCTGCCTTTACTGTACAAGTCTCAAGTAAACATCTTTTGGACATTTTCTTTTTGTCCTTGAGTCATGTAGACATGAGTTAAGTGCTTTCTAAGTTATAGTTAGATTTGGGTTCCTTATTAAAAACTAAGATTAATCTCCATTTTGTATTGCTAAATATTAAATGCAAATAAAAGTTCATAAATACACTCAGCAGCTGTTTGGAGGAGCTCTGCATGGTTTGAAAAAGGCTCTCAAAAATAATTTTAAAAAAATTTCTTCTTCTTTATACTACCCGTTATTGGCCATTTTCTACAATTCTTAGACCCATCTTCTGAAATGTAGACTTTCCCCTCTAAATAGCTTTACCTTTGGCTTAGCTAACAGTCCTGGGCTGTGGTGATTGGTTTCCTGCACAAGGCTAATATTGACCCAGCTTGAGGGCACTGAAGAACTGGTCTCTGGAGGAGCTGCCCGCCATTGTGGAAAATGCTTCACAGGTCTGAAGACAGCTATGGTCTTATTGATGAGTATCTTTTCAGTGCCTTTATAAACCCATTATGGCAGCTTTGGAAACTCTAGAAGATCAGGGGGCTTGAAGATTATGGAAATGAAGCACTTTGATCTAGAATCTGTCTCTCCATTGCTAGAAAATTAGAATTGAGATAGTATGAAAAGATGGCAGATTTTGGTAAAGCTTCAGAACTTTGAGATCATAGCTTTTCTCTTTCCAGCCTGAGGGAAGAACTGACATTTCTTTTAATGCCCTCTATGCCCAAGCACTTAAGTCATTTTGCTCATGTTTCACAGACATTTTATCAGATGGGTGGCATCATCACTGAAGATGGAAAGTGAGGTTCTCCCACCTTCCCTGCAGTCTCTATGGCAGCAAACAGTTCACTACTTTGCCACTGTGACACCCAGACAGGAGTGGGAAGGGCTCTCCACCTATTGAAATGAAGACATCAGTGGCCAGGGCCTCCTGCTGCTACCACCAAATCCAACAGCACAGGAAACAAGAAAATACGGAAGAGAACCATTGTTTTCTGTTTTCCCAAGAGGACCTGAGCTCAAACCACTGAGGCATTCAAAGGTCCCAGGCAGGCCAAACTCAAGAGTAATTGTGAGCTTTGTCACTTGTGTTTTTTTTTTTTTTCCTACTGATTAAGATCATGTTTTTCATTACCTTTGATTTTTTTTTTCTTTAAGATCGCAGCAGCCAAGTCTTTTATAGAAACACAATCTAGGACTTGGGTCCCAAAAGTTCATTATGTTTTCTCCTGTCAAGTTATCTGTTTCCTCTTCAATTTATTTGTAATAGAAACCTCACCCCATTTCTGCTTTGATGCTGGGACTGTGCCTAGCTTCCAACCTTTCCGGCTGGAATGTCAACGTATTTCTACAGGCAATGACAAGGGTCTGTTTTTAACAAAAGCCCAAACACTTCCAATAAAACCAGCCTTCCCCCCACCCCACACACCTTTCCCCCTTCCCCAGTATCAGATCAAAATCCATGTGAAGTTAAAACCATGAGCAAATGTGCCTTTTCCAGATTTGCAGCCCCAAGGCAGATGAAATGACCAGACATTATAGCCTTTTAGGGTTGTCCTAGGAAGAGCCAACAAAAGGGGTGACAGCCCCTAAACGGCTGCTTGGGGAGAAGGACATCTGCCTCTGTTTCACCAGCCATTCAGTCAGTGCTCAGGCCTTGCCTTGAAAAGAACATACGGGGCTGGGGAGCAATAGTTCGGAGGCAGCCAGTTGTTATATGGCTTTTGTCTTAAGGAAGCCACCCATTACGGTAGAGCCGTAACTCCCAGGAAGCCAGCTGTCAGGGTTGCGGCTCTGGGCCCCTTGGGGAGTAGGGGGGTGGGGGAGGCGATGGGGGAGAGAGGCACGGGGAGAAAGAAACTGGCCAGCGTCCCTTTTAGACACCTGAGCCTGGCTGTTTTTGTAACCAGAGTTTTTGCGTTTTCTTCTCAGTCCCATCTCTATCCACCCTTGGACAAGCAGCAGGGATAGCTCAGGATTCTGCTTCCTTGATCCTCAATTCCCTGAGCTCGGGGCTGGGCTGCACTGGGTTGCGGCTGGCTGGCTGGCTGGGGCGCTCTGATCCAGCGTTCTGCTTTGAAATCTACCCCCTCTTTTTTTTTTTTTTTAAGCCAGGTATGATGATGTCAAACGTGATGCCGATGCCTCAGTTACAGACACAGCCCCTGCTGGCGCAGCCTCTCTGATCTCTCCCCCTCCCCCCCCCCCCCCCCTGCGTCCAGCACTGGGCTTTTTCAGACAAGTGCATCTCCTAACCAGGTCACATTTCAGCCGCGACCCATCCTCCGTCAGTCACCGAGTCAGACCGCAGGAGGAGGGCGCAGGACGACAGCAGCTAGCTTCGCCAACCGCGGCGGCGGGAAGGGCACCAGGGCATTCCAACCGTGCAAGCGGCGAGACCCCCGACTCAACCCGGACCACGATGCGCGCCCTGGGCTGCGGGCGGCTGGCGCTGCCGCTGCTGCTGCTTGCTGCAGCCGCCCTGGCCGAAGGCGATGCCAAGGGGCCCAAGGAAGGCGAGACCCCCGGCAATTTCATGGAAGATGAGCAATGGCTGTCGTCCATCTCGCAGTACAGCGGCAAGATCAAGCATTGGAACCGCTTCCGAGATGTGAGTCGGCAGGGCGCGGAGGGCCGGGCCGGGCCTGGGGGGCGCAGGGCCCCGGTGTGGGGCGTGGAGAGTGGGGAGCGGCCGCTGCGGGTCTCAGCCAGAGCCTCCCACAACCCGGCAGGGTAACTGTGACTGAAGTAAACAACGCCCGAGAGTCCTACCCAGTGCTGCCTCCCCTTTCTGGGTCCTCGGGCCCCCTTCCCCACTCTTTTGGGGGGACCCACCCAGTCCCGCGCCCCCCTTCCCCCGAGTCCGGGGCGAGGGGGCGCGCCAGGGGCGCTCGCGGCAGGATCTCCCCGCCCCTTGGCGGGCGCGGGGTCCGTGTGCGGTGCGGGGACCCCAGTCCTGGCTGCCACGGCCCCCGTCTTGCGAGCCACCTCGGGCCTAGTCCCAGCCGGGTGGATGCTTCGGGCTCCACTCCTGGGCACCGCCGAAGGCACGGGTCTGGGTGGGGCCGGCGGGGAAGGGAGCGCCTTCTCGCGTTAGGGCCCCGTCGTCCCCCCCTTGGGAGGGGCCGGGGGAGCAGGGGTGTAAGTACCCGGGCTTTGAGTCGGGTGTGGGGGGGGGGGTCCTAGCAACCATCCTAAAGGGAGCCGGTGAAAGGCGTGTCCACCCATTATTGGGGGAGGTGGGGGGGGGGGTGGAGGCGACAGTAGTGAAAATGCTGGAGGCCACCTCCGGGTGAGTCGGGTCTGGGGTCTCCGCGCCCAGGGCTGCACCCAAGAACCGAGGCTGGTTTTCCGGGACCAACCTAGGAGAGAAAGCGGGGATGTTCCAGGGCGAGGGCAGGATGCACCCACAGAGGGACAAATCCCTAGCTAGGTCCTAGAAGCTGGGTCTGGGGGTCCCTACCAGACGCCAGCCTGAAGCCCGGTTTAACCTTGGGCGGAACTTTGCAGGGGGCGGGGGGGGGGCTGGGAGGCGGCTGCGGACCGGCGGCCTCCGCAGCGCTGTTTACTGCACCTGTAGATCCGCAGGGCTGCTCCCACCTCCGGGCCTGGGGGTGGGGGAGGGGAGGGTGGCAGCTGCCAGCAAGGGAGGGTGAGGCCGGGCCCAGAGCTCCCAGGGGGCTCGGTGGGGGAGGAAGCGGGGTGGGGGCGGAGCCGGATGTACTGGGGAGACGCAGCACCTCCGACCCCCTGAACCCTGGTAGCCACCTTGCACCCCGCGTCCTTACTCCCCATTCCCCAGATTCCTTCATCAGACTCACCTCGACAACCCTCACTTGCTTTTCGACCACAAGCACCTACAAGTTCCTTAGGAATTTGTCTCAAACATACGCTCTCTCTCCTGGAATACAGCCCCACGAGGCTTTGGATGGGGCACAGATTCGGATCGTTTTTGTTATGGTGAGAAAAGTCTCTGTTTCTCCCTAGAGTGAAACCGGCAGGTTGTAATTTCCAGAAGGAAGGAGGGAACACATGCAGCCAGGTTGCCAGGCTGAGCGGCCTTGGACCTCAGAGTGGGCCTTTTTTTTTTTTTGTCTCTCTTTCCCCCTCCCCTTCTCCCCCCCCCCCCCCCCCCTAAGCTGGCCCTGCCAAGGGACCCTGGCTCCCAGCAAGGCCTTCCCGAGGCACCTGCAGATTAGCGCAGTCTCCCGTTGCTGCCTGCAGTGAGGGGCGGCAGCAGGCCGGCTCTTCCGGAAGAAATCCATGTGTCACTGGTCCAGGCCTCCCTCTGACTCACTGGCTGTTTGATCCGCGGAAATGGGACCAGTGAAGGTCAGAGGGAAAAGAAGTGCTTAATCAGAACAGTGAAGGTTTAAAAATACGATTCTTTCCACCTTCTTTCCTCCACTTGCTTCCAGAAGCCAAACCCGCAGGTGAGAATAAATGACTGACTACTTGACCCCAGATCAGGGCTGCCCACCTGTCTCTGTGTTGATGCCAGCGCCTTCCATCTTCTTCCCTGCTCATCAGGGGGGGAAAAAACAGGTTTGAAATTCTGCAGAACCTGCCCTTGTAGCGTTCCTGGAAAGCTTTTAGAGCATGTGCTAATTGGGGGAGGGGTGGAGGAAAGGGGAGCTTCAGGCTCTGGAAAGGCAGATTCCCTGTAAAAGGACATCTTGACTGTAGGAGGACAGAGTCAGAGGAAGAAGTGGGACAAAGGCTAGGCAAGAGGGCCTGGCCATGGGGCTCTGTTGGCAGATTCTGCAGAAAGGCATAAAGGGGGCTGTGAACTGGGACCCACTGTATTGCACAATTCTAGCAGTGTCACAAGGTGAATGGCGCCCCTGTAGTTGTGCAGTGCTTACTGTACTCAGGAACTCTGCCTGAAGTACAGTTACTTCTCATCCTTCCTTTGCCAGTGGAGAATCTGCTTCTTGCCCTAAGAACTGAGGACCTCATTAGGCACAGTAGCATGGTCTATAATGCATTTTCCATCAGGCTAGCTTCCTTTTTTTTGTTGGTCGGTTGTAGAGCTTGAACTCGGCCTGGGTGCTGTCCCTGAGCTCTTTAGGGCAAAGTGAGGGCTCTACCATTTGAGCCACAGAAGCACTTCCGATTTTCTGGTGGTTAATTGGAGATAAGAGTCTCATGGACTTTCTTTGCTCGGGCTGGCTTTGAACTGCAATCCTCAGATCTCAGCCTCCTGAATAGCTAGGATTATAGGTGTGAGCCACCGGCGCCTGGCTCAAGGCCGGCTCCTTTAAAGACATGAAAAGCCTGGACCCTCATAGGAGAGAAGGGAATTTCTTTTGAACTCCTAAGGGGTTTCCAAGTCCAACTTGAACCTTGCTCATAACCAGGCACAAGATGGTGCAGGGCGTCCAGTTTGCCTAGATGGGAAGAAAGTGATACGAAGGGGTGGGCTGTTCTCGGGAACTTGGATGGCAGCAGTCAGTGTGGTGGGAGAAGGTCTCATTGAACAATTGTGGAACTAAATGAGGAAGATGAGGGGAATCATTTCAGAGGGATCAGAAGAGCAGAGATAAGGAAGCAGACTTAGGGTACTGCTCCATGAGGAAATGGTCAGAGGGCTTCGGAGGGATGCGGCTTAGCTTGCTTTCTGAGCAGGATTATCAGTGAGGCAGGACTTGCCAGCTAGGTAATCCTCCCCTCCAGTGGGCATAGGGCTCTCATATCCTGTGCCTGGTAGATTTTTTTCTAATGACCAGCGCTCTGTTGCCAGGGAGGAGATTCATGTTGATGGGGATGGGAAGTTGTGGGCCAGACCTGGCTTCTTGGATGCGAAGCCAGCTGCAACCTGCCCTAGGAGGTCTCAGGCTTTTCTGAATCCTACTTCCCAATGTCCCTAGCTCAGAATTGACTTCCTGCAGCACTGGGCGGGACTTTCCTGCTGTCTCTGGAACAAAGCACACAGGACACTTGAGAGAAGATGGCCAATTACACAGCATCTTCAGAGGAGGCTGTAAGGAATCTGGCTAGGAAGAACTGACTGGTTTCCTTGGCTCTTCTCTCCTTTGCACTCCACTTCTATTAAGTTGTAATTATATTTGTGAGTGTCTAACCTAGTGTTCAACACCCAGAGGCACACAGGTAATCCATGTGGAATTGATCATGGTTGTAAGCCCTCCTACTTCCAGACCTGCTGTAGGCAGGTTTCTTGTGCCTTTCAACAACCTGTGAGACAGTTACTGGCCTTTACAGTCTGCCCATTTTATGATCAAAGAAACTGAGACCCAGAGAAATTAAGCAGCTTACCCAAGGAGCAAGTGTCAGAACTTGGATTTCTTTTGTCTTGTTTGGGAGCTGGCTTTTGCAGAACCCAGAGATTTGTGTGTGCTAGGCAAACACTACTACTGAGCTATATCCCCCCAGCTCTCCAGAGCTGGGATTTGAAGCCAGTGCATGAGAATCTAGCTTTGTTTTTCAGAGGCATGCTAGGCCTTATCTTTAATGAATGTGGGAAGGAAGAAGAAACTCTCCTTCAGGCTAATGGCCTATCATTCTCCAAGGCTGCCCCAGATAGACCCAGTACCCTACTGGAAGGGGGCCAAAGCCCCCAATGTCTTTGGCAGCCTGCCACCAACCTGTTCCCCAGCCTAGCCTAGCAATACCCAAAAGACAGTTCTCCTCCTCTCCTCTGAAGAAGGACAGGGAGTTCAGGGCCAGGGCAGCTCAGCCTGGGTTTAGGTTCCATCCATAGGATGCTGAGTACATGCTTCACTATGGAGGCATTTTGTCTGAGGCTGGAGGTTATCCATTGCAGCTGCACGGTCCTTCACAGAAAACCACCAGAGGGAGCTTTGATCCTGGACAGTCTCTATGCTAAGCTCCTTACTATCTTCACTAGTTTACCCTGGGCTACACATCTGAGACATGTATGCCAAGAGTTTCTGGGCGATCCTGAGGACTGCCCCAGTGGTTATTATCCTCTGCTGGTTCCATATGATTTTCAGTTTTTTAAGAACACAAATAGGCCTGTAACAAGTAAGAATCACAAGGGGCCTTTTCAAAGACCCCTTCCCTCCTCCCTACCCCACACACTTAAACTAATGAGAATGTGGGATGAGCTTCACAGATGCTTATATGGAAGGGTATCTATGAAAAGAACCCAAAAGTGGGTCAGAGCTGGTGTTTGGAGCGGACTTCCTTTCCCACCTAGGTTTCAAAGCCTCCTCCCCCCAGGAGGATTGGCATCTCCAAAGCAGAGTAAGCCTGGTGACAGACTTGAAGACCCAGCAATACAGAGAGTCTGGGATGAGGGAAACAGGAGTGCCTCAGTGTCTAGAGGGGCTACAATGTGTTCTCTGGTTTTCTCAAACTCAGTAGGGGATAGAGAGTTATCTGAGGTGTGGGAGAGCCCTCAAGGGTCCAGAGAAAGTGCTCTGCTTCCATCCAGTGAGAGGAGAGACTAACTGTATAACCCTGGGGCAACCAGATGGCCTTTCTGGGCCTTGGTTTCTCACTGATATGAAGACTGAAGAGCAGAGCGCTGGTGGCTCACACCTATAATCCTAGCTACTCAGGAAGCTGAGATCTGAGGATCACGGTTCAAAGCCAGCCTAGGCAGGAAAGTCTGTGAGACTCTTATCT